GTGTCTCACTCTGTTGCCCAGGCTGGAGTGCAGTGGCACACTCACAGCTACTGCAGCCTCAACCGGCTGGGCTTAGGCAATCCTTCCACCTCAGCCTTCCAAGGAGCTGTAACTATAGGTGTATGTCAGTTTGGCTCTTATTTTATTTATTTATTTGTCTGTTTTTGTAGAGATGAGGTCTTACCAAGTTGCCCAGGCTGGTCTAGACCCCTAGACTCAGACAATCCTCTCACCTCCACCTCCCAAAGTGCTGATATTACAGGTGTGAGTTACTGTATCCAGCTGATAATATTATTAATTTATCTATTCCTTTCCTAAGAGTGAGTCTTCCTATTTAAAATGTATGCACCAGTAGAGAGCTGCAACTTTATCTATCTTATATATTACAATCTTAGTGTATGTCTTAGTTTGTACTGCTATAACAAAATACCTAAGACTGGGTAATTTTATAATGAACAAAAATATATTTTCTCTTAGTTGTGGAGACTGGAAAGTCCAAAATCAAGGTGCTAGCATTTGGTGTGTGGTGAGGGCCTTCTTGCTACATCCTCTTATGGCAGAAGGGGTGAACACTGTGTCCTCCCATGGTAGAAACGAGAAGAACAGAAAAGGGCTTAAGTTAGTTCCTTCTAGTCCTTTTATAAGGCACTAAACCATTCATGAGGGTAGAGCCCTCATGACTTAATAACTACTCAAAGGTTTAACTTCTTGATACCACCACAGTGGGAATTAAGTTTCAACACATACATTTTGGAATATATTTGGATCATAGCAATATCTAAAACAGTACCCGGCACTTTGACGCAGATGGTATTACAGGCTAGATAGTCTGACTCCAGAATCGAATCTCTTAGACTATTTCATTTTACTTTGTGTCTGTTATACTATACATTCTATTTTATTTACATTTATCACCTGTGACATCCTGGAAAACATAAATCTTTTTTTAACTTGTACCTGCTATTTTTGTTAGCTTAGTCAAATGTATATATGAACAATCTCACTATTAAATTCAAGAGCAAAGCAAAACTGCTTCCCACTTATGCATGGGAACATGAGAAATACAACCTCTTTACTCCACCCTCATCCCCCACTCACCATGTAATATTTGTTAATTTAACCTGTGTACTACTATTTACCATTCTGTCGTATAAATTTTCTATGTTAGATAAATGTTCTTTTCCAAGAATAGTAGTTTGCTTTGATAATTTTCATGATCACATTCTTAAAGTGACTTTTATTGTCATTGCCAGTACTTTTTATGACTTTACTTCAATTATCTATCGGTTATCTGGCATATGTCAAGAAGTCTTTTAGGAAGGAAACATCAATCTGAGTTTATACATATTTATGATATATGTATTTTTACCTTGATACATGACTAATTACTTGGTCATAAACTTTACTTCTCAACGCCCGTACAACAATGTTCTACTATCTTTTAGTATTTGGTGTTTTGGGAAAGATTATGGCCAGCCTCATTTTTGTTTGTCTTATACATCCCCTCCATTCCCCGCATGGCTCATCATATTTTTTTTAAAAAAATTAAAATTCTGACAAGGAATGTCTAGTCAGCATCTTTTTTTTCTTATTGATTGTGTCTATAATTTGTTGACTCCTTTTGCTTTATTAACTCTTCTTCCTTCAGATCAGGAAAGTTGTCTTCTATCATATCTTTGGTTCATAACTGTGATCCTAATGTTCTGTTTTCTTCCTCTGGAAGATTGAATATCCTCCAGCTGGATTTTCATGTATCTTATTTTTGTCATATTGTCTACTTGCTGTGCATTCTAGGAGAGTTCTACATAATTTAGTATGCCTTTTCTATGAAAAAAATAAAATTTTTCTATCTTCTTAATAGAGTGCAAGTTTATTGAGAATAAATACCATGTCTTTCATTTTTGGGAAAATAGTGAATATTCATAATTTCTATTTGGTTTCCTTAAATGGGCTAAGATATTGTTCGGATATTGTTTGGTAATGTAGGCATATGAATTTACTAGAAGAAATATGGGATAACACTGAAAAGATGGAATATGGAAGCTATCTGGAGGAGTATACATGTATTAAACATTCTGCAACCAATAACCCAAAATTTAATACAATAAGAAAGCAAAAACCCATGTTACATACATGCAAAAAAACCCCCAATAAATTTAGCAAATATGGAATCTGATTTAGTTTATACAAACTGAATTTTAGGAGTGTATTATTATTATTATAAAACTGAAGATATTGCAGAGTTTAAAAAGTACATTGAAGAATAGAATATCCAGTGAATATTTTAAAACTAAATTTTATTGTTTTAGAAGTTTGTTGCAAAATTTTAAAAAATCAATGTATACTATTTAAAATACTTCTGAACTACCCTACTACAGTTTTCAGAAGTTTTTTGGAATTATTTTCTCTATTCTGCATAATAATAATTTTTAAAAAGAGGACAGTGTCACACTATGTAGTGAGTTAAAAGCAACGTAAAACATTTTTTATGTCACTAAAGACATTTTGAAACAAAATATGACAATCAAACACATCTTCCCTGTAGTTCTCACAGGCCTTACAAACATTCATTATTGCCAGCAACAAACATATTTACCTCCTACCAGATTGGTTGGGTACAGGATATAACTGCTAATGCTTGAAGTGCTATTGGTTTTACTCCACATCCAGCAGTCTGAGTGCTTCTTACAAAAGCCCTTCTAGTGAATTAAGTCTCCTTTTGTATCCTCAAGCTGGATCATGATACCTCAGGAAGGATATAATAGTTACTAGTCACCACAAGGCAACTTCTGATAGAAAATAAAAACTAAAAAAGCCACACACTACTTAACAGATGCAATGGGAAGATAAAAAAGAAACTGAATACAACGTTTTTCCTTTTAACAGACTAAAATCTATTTGGGGAGGAAAAAATGTAATTGAAAAAACACAAAAGTATTGGAATCAAATTTGTAGCACACTGTACATATTCATGCATTTATTACTTCTTTAATACAAGGCACAGAAATTAAGACGTCCAAGAAAGATAGCAGAGTGACTGAATTACAAAGAAAATGAGATCTCTTCCAGGCTTTAAAATAATCTTCTTCATGGTATTGAAGAATCTGTATAATCTCACCATTTCCTGTTGTCCAAATGTCTATGAAGATCTTCTAGGTACAATGTATTATACAGGTACAATATAAAGAATACAAAGATGCATCAAAGAGAGTTTCAATCCTCTTAGAGTACAGTCTGGTAAGAAATAAGCAGACATATCAATGAATATATTGGGCTATAGAGGAGGTGAAAATAGTTCATGGAAATTTAAGGGAGGAAAGCTTACTTCTGGCTGTGGGAGGCAGGAAAAGCTTCCAGAAGAAAGTTAAATGTGAGTTAGAATGTAAGGGGAATTTAGAAATGTAGTGGTAAGGAGAGAGAGAAATAAAAAAAGAGTATGTGTGAAGACAATGAGGTAGGAGAGCATAAATGGGAGGAACAAGCAGTTATTCAATTTGCTGGAACAAAAGGTACATGAAAGTGAATAGGGCAAAACCTTTCACCACTGGGATGTCTAAATTGTCTTCCACCCACAGATCAAATCTGTTCTTTTCTCAGTCTTCCACCAGACTCTAAACCTAGGAGTTGTCCTTGATTTCTACTATTTCCCTCACAATTTTTATTCAATTTATCAGCAAATTATTTCACTCTGCTTCTAAAACACATCCTGAAATCACTCACTCAATTCAAGCTATCATTACTTGCTTGAATTTCTGCAACATCTTCTCTCCTTCAACTGTGATGATTCAACCTAAAGTTAACTATCCTGTCATTCAGCTATTTACTATTACATCACTGTACTTTAACTTTCTGCATAGCTTTCGTCACTATTAGATGTTTTTGTATTTGTTTATTCTTATTTATTATCCTTCTTCTTCACCAGAATATAAGAATTGACACTTTGACTATACTGTTCATTTGGAACTGTCTGCCACTAAATGAATAAATAAACGCATAAATTGAACAAAGCTAGAAAGTGATGTGGGCTCTTGAATACCAAGATAAGGATATTAGTTGGACTTTATCCAGAAGACAAATGGAAGGATGTTGAGGTTTTTGAGGAGACGAAAAGATGCAAAAGGCATACTTCTTGCCCTCAAAGAGTTTATAATACACAGATAACTCAAACCAAACTATATTCTGAAAGAGAGATGCTGACAATACAAAGTACCAGATCATAAGCACCAAATGACCAACATAAAACAACACTACAGAAATTTGGCTAAGGGAGTATGGGCTGCAACAGTTAGAATGGAAAGACCACAGTTCACACACAAGTGAGAAAAGGCAGAAAGAAAATATCCTTTTTTTTTTTTGAGTTAGAGTCTCACTCTGTTGCCCAGGCTGGAGTGCAGTGGCACACTCAAGGCCACTCCAGCGTTGACCTGCTGGGCTCCAGCAATCCTTCTGGCTCAGCCTTCCAAGTAGCCGAACTACAAGCATGTGCTACCACACCCTGCTAATTTTTTTGATTTATTGTAGAGATAAGGTCTTGTCAAGTTGCCTGGGTTGGTCTCGAACCCCGGGCAACTTGGCAATCCACCCACCCCCGGCCTCCAAACGTGGTGGAGATTACAGGCTGAGCCACCAAGCCTGGCCACAAATATCTTAAATAGGGGAAACATGTTAGCAAATAAACAGAGACAAGACATGTCTGTGATGAGCTCACAGTACAGGGAATAGATTAGTTTAGATCAAAACTAATAGTATCCACAAAGGGTCTGTATATATGAATTTGTGATCATATCTGTTTAATCATAAAAGCATGGTCCTTAAATAGAAATGCTTCTTCGGAGGCTAGAAATTGAAAATCATACTTAAAATATAAGTAAACCCCTAAAACTATGTTAAACATCCTCATAAAATCATGTCCATAAAATCATGAATTAAACTGTTTTCTATTTTCTAGCAAATAAATTTAAATATTAATTAATATTTCTTTTTCTTTTCATTTTCCACAGAGTCGCCACCCCATTTGGAGGTTTTGAAAAAGCATCAAAAATGGTCAAATTTAAAGTTCCAGATTTTGAGCTACTATTGCTAACAGATTCCAGGTTCATGTCCTTTGCTAATCCCCTTTCTGGCAGACGGTCCTTTAATAGGACTCCTAAGGGATGGATATCTGAGAATATTCCCATAGTGATAACAACTGAACCTTCAGAGGATACCACCATACCAGAATCAGAAGACCTATGAAAAGAGGGTTATATGTGCCACAGAAACCTCCGAATATAAAAGTTCCTGTTTTATTAGTCAACGTACTAGCAAAGCCACTTACATTTTTCATTAGTAGAAATAATAGAAATTTAGTGATTTTTCTTTTATGGCTTTTCATTTCAATCTCAAATACTAATAAACAATTAGAAATCTTATTTTAAAAACTTATAATTCACTTGTCTTCATCATTTTATTTTCACCTGGTTTAAACAATTCAGCCTTTTGATTGTAAAAGTTAAGTTGGAAAAATAACAACAAAAGGTTTCACCTGTGTTTCATTTAATATGATTTATTCTAGAATAAGTTTTTCAAATGGAATCTAGAATCAAAACATAGTACAAGATGTGTCGACTTAGAGTTTTATCTAGGGATGAAAACTGTGGAAGATAATGCACAGATGTTATTGATGGAGAAAAAGGTTGGTGTGTCCTTTGTGGTGACCATGATGAAATAATATGTTTGAATGAAGCCTCTTTATTAATCATTCTTAGAATTCTCAAGTGCTTTGCATTTTTAAACGTGTTTTGAATCATTAGGTAATTCTTCTGATGATATTCTCCAGAGTTCAGTTGGGTTATTACATTTGTTTAGTATTAAGTCAAGGAGACTGGGAGACATTAACTCAAGGGATATCACACTATTACAGTTTTAATGACCAAAGTGTGCTCAGAATTCAAGTTCCACAAATCCCAATGCTATGCATTTTTAGAAGAGTAAGAACATATATACACACTAACATACATATAAATGAATATATGTATGTGAGAAAGGAAAGGAGCACGCAATTTTACTTAGCAGCATTTTTTTTTTTTCTGAATCTTTAAATTCTGTTCAAATCCTCAGGTACTAAGAAGTACCTGCTATAAAACACAAAAACAAGAAACAGAAAAGCACAAAAGGATCTAAAAGCAATGTAGTACATATCTATCATGATATACAGAATATGCTGTTATAAAAGACTCAAACTAAACTGTTATAGACATATTTTAAAATATAACTGAGGAAGTGTATAACATAGGACACAGAGAAATCAATATCAATTCCTCTCATTTCAATTAAGAGTTCTATGATAGATGTTTATATCAGAAATGTCTTATCCATAGAAAACTGTATGCCAGATGAAGTTTAGAAAATAAGAAAAGAGACGGTGTATAGTAATGAAAATGCCAAGTAGAAACATTACATATTTTCAAAAGAATCTGTGTATTCAGTGTGGGAATTTGTAGTTGTTTTAATCATCCTTGAGACTTGTAAGTAGAAAGTATTCTTAAAATTTTGCTTATGAAAAATATAACTCCTAGAAGGTAACAATGACTAAATATTGTATTTATACATACTATCCTTGTAGATAATTTGTACAATTTTAAATGTTTTTAAGATATCTTAATTTTATTTCTAAATTTTGGTGTTTATCTGTTTTAAAATAGCAATGTTAGCATCTGTGAAAAACTCTATGAGGCTTCCATTGTGCCTTTTAAAAAAATTTTTAATCTTTAAAAAAGTAATCATATTCTTTATGCATTCTGATGAAATGCTTTAGTTCTTTTCTAGCATCATGAAATGAGTCAATATTTTTTAATAAAATTGAAATTTTATTGCATTATTTCAACCATTTCTATATAATTAAACTATATGATCAATGTTACCATTCTGTCAACCACTGAAAGGGGAGCAATTAAATATGTTCGCTATAGAACAGTATTCCAGGCTGGGTGTGGTGGCTCACGACTGTAATCCCAACACTTTGGGAGGCTGATTTGAGAGGATTGCTTGAGCCCACGGATTTGAGACCAGCCTGGGCAACTTGGCAAGATGTCGTCTCTACAACAAATCAACAAAAATGAGCTGAGCGTGATGGCACATGCCTGTGGTTCCATGCCTGTGGTTCCAGCTACTTGGAAGGCTGAGGTGGAAGGATTGCCTGAGTCCAGTAGGTCAAGGCTGCAGTGGCTGTGTTCATGCCACTGCACTCCAGCCTGGGCAACAGAGTGAGACTCCAAATTAAAAAAATAAAAGTAACAGATTAAAAAAATAAAACAATATTTCCCGGTATCTTAAAAGGGAATTTTAAAAGGGAGAATTTGTGTGTGTGTGTGTGTGTGTGTGTGTGTGTGTGTTTTAAGATTGAATAGAAAAATAACCCTGTTCACTATTATGTTTCTTTCTTTCCTGGAAGTGTCTATTAGTTCTAGTTCAGCTGACACCTTTAGAAATGCCAAAATTTCACTCTGGTTGCTACACATTTACGAATTCAAAAAGAATTTAAAAGAGTTTTCCATTGACCTGAAAAACAGTTAAGTTTTTCAAAGTCAAAATAAATATGATAATCTCTTTAGAAGAAAAGAAAAACTGACATATTTTTCACCTGCTTTTGTATACTGAAATACGGGGGGGGCGGGAGTAAGAATATTAAAATAAAAAGTAAAAGAATGAAAATAACATTTGTTGGTGAACTATTAAATATTAGACATCTACTCATTGCCTTCTGGATCATGAAATTATATCTTCTATTTTAAGCAAATTTCCTCTTGCATCATTGGTAGGATTGATGATCAGCTGGCCAACTGTCCTCTGGGTAACAACTAGAGCCATATTAGTAATTAAAATTATGGTTTTAAAGGATCTTTGTGACTTTTAACTCTACTTCCTTTAATGATTTCTCAAAGTTAGTATTTTCTATCTCTAACTCAATATTTGAAAGAACTTCACAATTCAAAATAACTAATTATTGGCTATTACAAAATCAAGCCAAATATAGACAATAATTTTTAGTCAAAATGACCATTTATTGCATCCACTTACAACTTTACATTTTCTAAATTGGCTAATTTACAAATGTTTTAGCAGCTTGGAAGTTGAGGGAGCCAATTAATCTTGGAAAGGCTAATATGGAGCAAAATGTCCAGTCATGAGTATGAAAAGAACACCCTGAACTTTTCAACTGAGGGCACAGTTGTACCAGCAGACTTATTAATTCTGGAATTTCCTCACTCTGCTGCTTATGCAAGATAAAACTTGCATGACATCATTGCAGTTTTTCAGCCACAACTGTCCTTAATTAAGCTTAGGAAAGCATTACTTTAAATGTCCTTTTTCTTATGAAAAACACTTTGGCCCTCCTCACCCTATTCTGTAGGGAGAAGGGCACTTCACTTTCTATGAAAAGTGGAAAAGTGCCATGCTTTTATCCAAAGAACAAGCAAGGGGAATCCATTTCAAACTAACAGAGCAAAGCACTGTGCAAATATACCAAAGAATTTTTAAAAATTATAATGTTTTTACAAGTTAAACTTTCCAGAACTAAAAAGAAAGGAAGTCAAACTGTGTAAAGATTTCAATTGCTTAAACTAAAATGCTATTAAATAAAAGTAGGTGACCTCATATGAATTTCTCAAATGGAGGGGCTAGATTGCAACCCAGAATTTATATTACCCCTGGGTTCTCAATGTGACTTTAATAGGAAGATTTGATACATAAAAGCAAAGAGAAAGGGAGAGAAAAAGGTTGTTTGAAAGAGCTTATAGTTCAGATACAAATAAAATTTGCTTATTATTCTGTATTGTATAATATTTTGAAAAACATTTTAATGACACTTAGGCAGAGGTGAAATTTTAGAAAACACGACTAGAAAAAGTCAGGAGGAAAAAAGATAAAGTAAATGTCACTCCCTATTTTAAAATTGCTCATTGAAGAATCAGTATAGAAACGGCATCACTAGCAAAATAAACATAAAAGAACAGGGGAAAAAGGAATGCCAGAGCCGGGCTCGGTGGCTCAGCCTGTAATCCCGCGATGGGAGGCTGAGGTGAGTGGATTGCCTGAGCCCGCAGGTTTGAGACCCGCCTGGGCAGCGAGCCCTCATCTCTACAAATAAATCAAAAAATCAGCCGGGCGTGGTAGCACGCGCCTGTAGTTCCAGCTACTTGAAAGGCTGAGGCGGAGGGATCTCTGGAGCCCAGCAGGTTGAGGCTGTGGTGGCCGGCCGGGAGCGGCCACTGCACTCTAGTCTGGGCGACAGAGTGAGACTCCAACTCAAAAAATAAATAAATAAATAAATTTAAAAAAAAACAAACAAAAAAAACGGAATGCCAGAGTGAAGTAGGCTGCTAGGAAATACAATCCAGGCTGTATAAAAGCTAATTGTATTATTTTATGATTTCTAAAGCCTTCTCATGTCTTTTGAAGTAATTTTGTTTTACATGTACACAATTGTTTTATGTGGGGTGTCACCCAAATACTCTCATTACATTTATTATCATTCACAAATAATATATAAAAGCAATTTTATTTAAAGGTGCCAGCTTTGAAATAAGAAATGTACATTCTGATCTACCACAAATCAGTGATATAATCTCAAGTAATTTACTTCACTCAGTAAATCACAGTTTTTGCCAACTATTTATATGACTCAAATGTCATCGCCTCCTGAGACCTTTCCTGGTCAACATTATTTCAAAGAGTATACTTCTAATCCTTTGTTGGGCTTTTTATTATTTTTTTTTTACAGTACTTATTACTCCCTAACAGAATGTGTTAGTCCTGATCCTCTGAGAAGATGATGCTAAAATGGGGCTAAATGTGCAAACTTTTTTAGTAGAAGTGCATGTGTGAGAGCAAATGGGGAGGAAGCCAAGAAAGTCTGGGAGAGCCAGCAGATCTCAAATGGAAATGTATGGAAGTGTTCTAGGCTGCTGTGCAATCTCAGGAAGATTCAGTCAGGCCATTGAGAGGTCCTGTACCAAAGTTACCCATCCTCAGAGGGACCCTGTGTTTCCCAAAAACAGCCTACCTAGTGTCATTATCACAGCTGGTCATCAGCTGGGAGCAGCCTGTGGAAAGCCTCCTCTGCACTGGTGGAGTTCAGAGGACAGCGGAACCGGAGCCCTTGATCAACTATGTTGCTGGTGGTCTGCAAGGAGCATTCCTATGGCTGCCACACAATATTCCTTTATTGTTTAATTATCACACCAGAATGAATGCTCTCTGAGGGCAGGGACTTCGTCTCTTTTATTTTAATTGAAAATTGATCATGTACAACATGATGGCTTGAAACATGTACACACTGTGGAATGGCTCCACAGAACTAATTAACATATGCATTGCCCAACATACTTATGATTTTATGTGTGTGTGGTTTCCCCACAGTATACCTCCTCTGCTTTGT